TTATATAATATATTAAATTTTTATTTAAAATTTATATTTAAAAAATTAAAAATTTAAATTAAATCTACTACCACTAAAATGAATGAAGCGAGTACATTAGTGGCGAAAACCACAACTGAGCAACCTGGGGGAGACAAAATCGACGGACGTAATTAAATTTTATACTACGGGGGGCGTATAAATATATGAGAAAAGTGTTTGTCAGCCTGACCTCCCAAAAATTAGGAGGAAAATCATCTTAAAACTACGTCGTTTCAATAAACTTTTATTGAAAAAGACTAAACTACCCTATTTTTAAAGCATGCATTAAGGTGATATTTGTCCTTTTTCCTCCTAATTTTTGGGAGGTCAGGCTGACAAACACCAACCTCTAAATATATTTCCCGATTTCTTGTTTTCTTTGTTCTAAAACAGAAGCAGAGTAGCTAGCACTCCTCCTATCCTTACCCAAATTTTTTAACCTCCTTCTCTTCCCCTGGGATAAGCAATCAATTTAAACGCAAAAGCAAAGCAATACGCAAACTTTCAGATCAGCTTCTTCCGGAGAGGACACCGTCGTCGTTTTCGTCTTCCTCTCAGATCCGCGGCCATCATTCTCTCTTCCTTCGGTCTTCAAGCTCAAAACTGTGCTTTTGCTGCGGGGGAGAAGAAAGGAAGAGAGGGATCGAGCGAAGCTTGCGTTGTTTTGGTGCTTTTTATTCGAGCTGCTTTTGCAGTGCCAAGAGCATTGGTTCACGTGGGATTAGGAACAGAGGAGAAAATGGAGAGGAGCACTCCGGTAAGGAAGCCACACACATCAACTGCAGATCTGCTTACTTGGTCGGAGACTCCTCCCTCTGATTCCCCCGCCCCTGGCTCTGCCGCTTCTCGCTCCGTCCGGTCTCTTCAGGTAATTTTTGCCTTTTACCTCTTTTTTTTTTTCAAATTATTGACTAATATGTAGCGCTTGATTAATTGATTTACCTTCTTTTTCTGGGGAATTAATTGTAGCCGTCGGATGGGATTAGTAAGGTGGTGTTTGGCGGACAGGTGACGGATGAGGAGTTCGAGAGCTTAAACAAACGGTGAGATCTTGTTCATCATCTGATCTGAGCTACTTCTACTCTTTTTTTTTTTTTTTGGAATTATTTTTCCTTTGTTGTTTATCTCCAATGACTGCGCCAAACGCGGAGCCTTTGCCCGTCACTGATTTTTCGCTCGTCGTTTTCTTTTATTGCTCATTTTTGTTTTTTGTTGTTTCACGGTTTCGGCTGACTCTCTGCGATTCATGCGGCAATATATATTTTTAGTTTGATTTGATCTATTCAATTATCCATGACTGATTTTCTTATAAATATAACAGTAAGCATGAACAATAGTGTTGATCTATTGCAATTTTTTTGTGATCTAATTAATTTGCGTACTAATTTTAATTTTTGTTATTTTAATTATTGAAGAAGATCTACCAATTGTATCACGTCCATACATTTTGTTAAAGAGTTTTGGGACCAGTTTCAATTTTCTAGCTAACAAACAGCTGTCCCCTCTCAAATTTTGGGACAATTCTATTTCTCTCTTCATGCTGCTCTAATTGCCATCCACCACTTTTTGTGTTTGCATTTAAGGACTGAAATCTGGGTTCGTTAGATTCTGGTCTTCTCATAGTCTGTGAAGTTTTATGTGTGAATAGGGGTTTATAAATCAAATGCTAATTAAAACTGCTGATGGCTTGTGGTCTGTTTTAGGTTCTATTTAAATGAACAAATCCCAGATGTTGATAAATCATTCATTTGTTTAGTAGTATCTTGCCAATTCAATAGAGCTGTTAAGTGTTCCTCTTTTTTTTTTTTTTTTTTTTTTTTTGGAATCGTTAAAATGCTTCAAGTATCAATCAGTGTTTATCAGTGCCATAATACTTAATTCAGAGGAGATGATAAAGGAATAAATTAGTTAATCACATTATGTACAAGTAACAAATTTATGTTACCATCTAAGCAAGCAAAAAGGCCTCATGGAACTTTCATCTGTGCAACTCCCAGGAAACCTTGTTCAGGTTATAAATTGAAAGAGATTACTGGTAGTGGCATTTTTGCAGTCAATGGAGAAGATGATTCTTTGGAATCTGGCAGTGCTAATCCTACTCCAAATAGCAAAACTGGATTACGCATGTACCAGGTATCTATGTTTATAAATTACAAGCATATATGTTTTGAGTCCATATATGTTTGCAATCAAATGATGTACATATGTTTCCAAGTCCATGGTGATGTTTATAATGGAATAGTGTATTATCTATTTACTCATCAAGTCTTTTGATGTTGGTGTTGTTAGCAAACCCTTACTGGAATCAGTCACATCTCATTTGGTGGGGAAGAGAGTGTTTCTCCCAAAAAGCCAACCACATTGCCAGAGGTGGCAAAGCAGCGTGAGTTGAGTGGTACACTAGAAAGTGAGTCAGAGGTAAAGTTAAAGAAGCAGGTATCTGATGCAAAGTGTAAGGAGATTAGTGGACATGACATCTTTGCACCTCCTCCTGAAATTTTACCCAGACCAACCACTGCACGTTCATTGGCACTGAAAGATAATTTCCATCTTGGAGAGCCTGAAGTACATAATGTAAGTATATGTTAAAGATAAAATGTTTTCTGCCTGTATCTCTCTCTAAATCTAAAAATAAGGCTTATGCTTTATAATCAGAGAAGTCTGCAAAAACTGGTATGCATGGGGATAAATGAGCACACATTTTTGGCAATCATCTACAATTTTTGTTTCTTACTCCATCAATTGCTTAGAAGATGGTTAGAACATGTTTGTAATGGGACATCACATGCATTATAGCTGCTTTGGTTGTCACTGGTACCAACGACACTACAGACATGTGGGCATCCAAGTTCTTCCATTCCTGGCACATGTTTTCTATTTTGGAGTTTTTATTTGAATATCTAACCTTTTTCTAAACTTGAGTTTTCCTTTATTGTTATCTGTTGGGGGCTTAGGGTAATGGTGTTTCCAGTGAGGAATCGGCTGTGAAGACAGCAAAGAAAATTTCCAACCAGAAATTTGCTCATCTTTCTGGAAATGACATATTTAAGGATGATGTTCCTCCAACATCAGCTGAAAAGCAGCTCAGCACAGCAAAACTGAGGGAGATAAGTGGAAGCAACATTTTTGCTGATGGGAAGAGAGAAGCTCGAGACTACCTAGGAGGTGTGCGCAAGCCACCAGGCGGCGAAAGCAGCATTGCTTTGGTGTAACTTGTTAGGTCTAACTCTTTATTTTGTCAAGTGGTGTTTGGTTCTATGTTATTCATGGTGGGGGTTTGATTGCTATTTATTTGAACTTTTCGCTGTGGGTTTTAGCCATTTAGGTTTAACACGTCAAAGAGAACTTATGTATAGACTTTCTGCTAATTGGCTTTGTTTGTCTATAGGTTTGTGTTACTCTATTCCTGTCCTAGTAGAGGTCTTCAGCTGTTCAGATTTAGTTATATTGCATAGACCATAAAGCTGAGACTTTTCAGGTAAATGTTTAATGTTTTCCCTACATCCCCATTAGTCAAGAAATGGTACCTAGGTTTTCATACAACGAGATCTGTTAATTAGGAAATTCTTATATTGAAAGAAAATTAAAAAGAAACCAGTGATATATATAGGAGCTGTTTGGTATAATAATTTGAAATTAATAATTAATGGTTTTGTTTAATTCAAAATAAGAGTGTTTTGATTTTCAATAATAATAATTATCTACTATTACGTTAGACAAAATTGCTAATAGATAGTTTTAAATTATTATTCTAGATACCCTTGTAAAAAGATAGGCTACTCTGTTTAACGCTAACCGTTCTAATGCTAACTATTTTATGTTAGATATTTTTCTTGTGCTTAAACTTGTGCATGCATTTAGAGTGTTACAACTGGTATCTTGGACATGATCTTTACAAAGCTCGAAGTCATCAATTTGAGACCTAGTATTGGGATTGAGTGTTGATTTAAATCCAATCACATTATCACAAATAAGAATGAAAAAGGAACTATTGTGTGTGTGCTCATCCCAAATTAAGATTTAAATTCAAAATTTTAATGTGATAATGTGATTGGATTTAAATCGACAATCAATCCTAATACTAGGTCTCAAATTGATAACTTCGAGCTTTGTAAAGATCATGTCCAAGATAGGAACTATTGTGTGTGTGCTCATCCCAAATTAAGATTTAAATTCAAAATTTTAATGTAAAGTATTTATCTTTTAAAAAATTATTTTACAAATCAAACAGTAAAAAGATGAACACATATTTTCATATAACAAGATGGACTTGTATTTTTTTTATATTACTATAGGTTTTTGAATAACCTAAAATTTCATCTTTGTTTGGTTGACAATCTCATCCTTGTTTTATTAATTAAAATTTAATTTTTTTAATATAACATAGTATAATAATATAATCACACAAGAAGTAATTTTTTTTTTTTTTGAGAATTTATTAATCCAATTCCTAACTTCGAAAAAAAAAGGGGAAAAACTCCCGTGTTCTTGTGATACACTAGTAAACATAAGTTAATGTGGTTGATTTGAATCATTAAAACTAAATCAGAAGAAAAAGGGGGGAGATAAGAGTTTTGTCATAAAACAGCCTCCTTCGATTAAAATTAAAAGCTCTTTCCTAATCAGACCCTCTCTTTCTATGATAACCCTCCCATGATGTGATGTGATCAACAAATTTTTCATAAAATTTACCCAAAAAGATCCCATATTTCCAATATATTTAAAAATCAACTTATTACTAAAAAAACAAAGATTGAAAGAAAGATTTTTTTTTTTGGATAAATGAAAAGAAAGAGTTTTATAGAATCTTTGGATTAATTGTTTAAATATTATTAATAATTAATAATTAATAATTAATAAATATTATTATTTATAATTTAAAATATTTAATTTATATAGTTAACAATCGATTGCGAGATGACAAAACAAACATCTTCTCATCTTACAAACATTATCTTCATATCATGGTACTGAAGAACATAAAGGGATGGAGGTGAGTTTCCATAATTGTTGAATGACATAATTAATGATAATGATGTTAGTAATATTATAATTATAATATTATATATATAATATTAAATAAATATAATATAATATTAAATAAATATATA